GAACGTATATACATTTACTAAATAAAAGTCGAAAAAAAAAATATTAATTCCTAAAAGCATTTATCCTTTAGTTAATGCTTTTTAATTTTTTTTTTTTTTAAAATTTGTTTTGATACAGGCCTTCAAGGTCCCTTTAATCATCATTTTGATAATTAATTACATTCATTTTCGTCTTAAAGTTAACTCAAAACCAGATGGATAGATCGAATCAACAAAGGAGCTGCAGAATTTCGTTCAGACAACTGGAAAATAATAACAATACGGACCTAGAGAAGTCATTAGAAAGAAAAATAATGTTTATCTTACGAGGCTGAGTGAATCCTAAAAAAGTGAAAAACAGTTTATTGCTGATAATAACAACTATATCTACCTTAAAAATTCAAGAACTAGGCCTGGAATAATTTAACTGACCCCAACTAGCAGCACTGGTACCAAGTGTTTCTTTCTTTTTTTTTTTTGTATATACGAAGTTCTTTCTGATAATGATAAAAACAGTAACCCCGAAAGACGACAACTGCTCAACAATAGGAGTACTGCCACCCTTTGTAAGGCAGCGCCAGCACCCGCACGATGAAACTTCTTCCCTCCTATTAAATAAAAAACTCTAATAGATGGCATTATCTGTTGAGACGGAGGGGGTGAATCTAAAATTACACGAGACCAGGTGCGGGGACGTATTGAAGAGTATAGAGGCCGTGTGAACCACACAGCTCTTCGTCAACTTGGCCAGCTCACTCGTACTAATCACGCTTTTAATATCAATCGGCGACTGCTTCGAACAAATATTTGCGGAGTGAGATATGGAGAAATTGCAATTCTAATAAAGATAGTGTCTGGTTCGTTTCATAATTCAGGCATAGTATCCTGGTTAAATTATAATGACCTTACGAGGAAAATAATGATGTAAAAATAATTTTATTTTATTTAATTTAATTATCATTATACTCGTTAATTCTTCAACAAATCCAATTTGACGATTCATGTACGAATAATAACAACATCCCTAAGAAAAGCCAGGAAAATAGTTAAGAAAAAAAGGAAACTTTATATATACATAACTCAAAAGTCATACAATCTATGGTGGGTACCAACCATGATAATTAGATTTTTTTTTTTTTAATTTTCCAAGTATTTAAGTTGTTATTTTGATTAGTTAAGTTTTTTTTTGTTTATATATATTCATATTGTATCATTATTTTGCTGTTGTTTCATTTAATTTATTTGTACATATGGTGTGAATTAACTCTTTAAATCACTATTACTAATAATTATTTCAAAATATTCGATAAAAAAAATCCTAAAAAACAAAAAAATTATATTGTAATTTGAATTTTTTTGAAGATTATAGTTTATAAATATGTATTGATTTACTACCTAGGTCGAACTAAGAAAGCAAATCCTTAGTCTTCTTAAAAGAAATTATAATATTATAATACAAAAAATAAACATGGTAAATATACACATATTTACATCATGGGTGTTAAATATTCAGGACGCAGTCATTATAAGGTTTATATTACTGCCGACGTTTCAACCCGAACATGTGGGTCATCATCAGGGCTGACGATTTTTAAATTCAATCTCAGATATAATATCATACGACTAATAATGAAAAAATATAGTGATTGGTAGTACACGAATCTTAACTTATATTACTTAAATAATCTTAACTAATATTTTCTCAAATGAAAATATTATAATAATATTGTAATAATGTTTATAAATGAATTATAAACATTATTTTTAGTTCGTATAACTTTCTACATATTTCATTTATAATATTTGTATTGTAATATTAGTTAAGATTCATGTATCGTCAATCACTATATTTTTTCATTATTAACCATGCATTAGTCGTACATTATATCTCGGATTGTATTTAATGATTGTCCGAACTGATGATGACTCACATGTTCGGGTTGAAACGTCGGCACTAATAAAAACCTTATAATGACTGCGTCCTGAATCTTTATCACCCATGATATGTAGAACAGTCGATTAACTTCCTTCAATATATATATATATATATATATATATATATATATATATATATATATATATATATATATATATATATATATATATGTATATATATATATATATACAATAGTTGTGGAAAATTCTAGCTTCTTTTAAAGATACTAAGAATTCGTTGGACCTAAACTTAATCCGTTTTAGAGACGTCCTTGAAAGGTTTTAGGGTCCCAAGTGTCCAATTGGGCATGGGCAGTCATTTGTCAAGCTAAGTATTATTTGGTTTAAACATTTATGGTATAGAGTATTGACTTCAACATTAGATGGAAAAATTATCTCCTGATATTTACAAAATAAAATTCTTATTTCTTGCCTACAACTTAAGTTATACCTTCAGGGAAGTATTTTATTCAATCACACTTATTGAAGTCATAGAAGAGCTAAATTTACATCAACACGTATAAAGCCATTTTTTTCTAGAAAATAAATCGTATCTGGTTATTGATTTTTTTCATGAAACATTTACCATATAATAAAATGAATATTGGAACACACCTTAACTATCGAGATATTAAAATTAAATTAGATAAAAGAAAAATAATAACTAGACCTAGAATTTGAATTATCAATCAATATTATACAATATATAGAAAATAGTAGTAGAGTATCTAAAAGTGCTAGTTCACGATTTTATTTTATTTCATAATTATTGTAAGTACAATTTCTTCTTTTGTTTCTTTGTAATTAATTTGTTTTATTTTTATTTTTTTTATTTTATACTATTTTCGCAACTGCGTTTTTGGACACATCTAGCAAATGTGCTGTCGTTCATTTCACCAGCTATTTCTTGAAATATGTTTCATATTGTGACCAGATCCCGAGGCCACTCTTCGTTGAGGCTCCCCTGGTGAGAGGGAGGAAGAAAGAGAAAGGAAAAGTGCATCAGGGTGGTTAATAGTTGAAGCGTGGAATGTGGTCTATTTGCTATTTATGAAGGTTTTTACTGTTGGAATGTTCATGTATGGTGTGATTTGAAATATACCAGGATGCATTTACGATTTTTCGAAGAATTTTGGAATGGGGAGTTTATGTTGGGTGGTCGTGTTTCGTGGAACCTTTAAGTTCTGCTCCAGATGTCCAAATAGGTCTAGGTATGGTGGTGTAGATCAGTCGCTTATTTTGTAAGTTGGTCTGTACTCCAAAAGATGTGACAGTTGTTTGTACCGTCTGGTCAGTTCATGTTTGTTTTTTTAATTAGTTTAATTACTTATGTATTTAATTAGTTATAATATCTCAATATTCAATTGTAAGTCACATTATATTATTAATTTATTTTCTAAAAACGTATCTATAAAGCTGCGTTTTCATTCCTTTTATGGCATGAGCATCAGAACAATTATGTCTCGAAAAGCATCTTCAAAATAGTTGTATATTTATTGATTGTACCGACTAGCAAACCCAGAATTTTATTTTTACCGGGCTTCAGCCCGAAAGCTTTTTTTTATCTATATATCGATAATTACTTTGGAAGAACAAGAAAGAAACTAACTACCTATATGAATTTATCTTTAAGTGATTTTTGAAGTCCTATTAAATTTAGTAACACGAACAGTAATACTTTTAGAGATAATTTTATAATATTTCTTTCATAAAACATGGTTATATTTTACCATTTTGAGGGGGACTTCAGCCCGAAATCCATTCCCCCCCTCCGTAGATCTGCCAGTGACTGTACCTCAAGATTCTCAGACAACTTATATTATAAACAGTTGCCAATACATACGTAATAAAATTGAAATAAAAATAGTGATTTAAATAATCTGTGAATAAACATAAAAATGATCTATTAAAATGATAAGAGCTCACTTAAGATTACTTCAATATTCTAACAATGGTGCCTCTTCTAATTAAATTTAAAAAAAAAAAGAAATCTTCGCCTTCAGACCACACTGATTCGTTCCGGGTTTGATTTATAGAAATACAAATTACAAAATATCGCACTTCACTCCCTGCATATATGTTTATTTTTTAATTTTATTACAGTACGCTATCCCAAAGGCAGCAAAGGCATAAATTGGATTGAGCTCTATATAAGGGAGTGCGAAGCGACCAATAACTCTTTAAGATTGCTTCACGGGGCTACGTTTTCTTTTTTGTGTTTGATGATGAACTTTCCTGTATATAGTATATTTCTATTTCCTTTATACATTTTTATTGCCTAATTCTTCTTATATGCATAAAATGTTCAATAAAAAAGAGTAAGTATTCCTATGATTTTATGTTCATATGAATAATATTCAGTCGTTTCGGCTAGCAATGAAAATTAAAGTAATCTTATAATCAGTTCGATTGCTGGAGTATCAAAATGAATATCATGTGACACAGGTAGGTATTCGAACCCCATTTTATTTTATTTTACGCCATGTCTTTATTTCTAATCGAATTTATTCCAGTCCATTTTTTAGCTAACGATTATTTATTAAATAAGAATTATTTATATATATTTATTTATTTTAAATATGAAAATGTATCTAAGAAACGACCAAATCTCATAAGCATATACTTAAAATATGTTGCGAATTATTACACAGTGGTCTTTTGTTACCAAATAGTAAACCATAACCATCAAAAATAAAAATTAATTCAATGAAGTTTTATTTATTTTTACTTTGGTATAATGATTCGAAAGCTGTAAAAAAAATGCTCTATCTTTACAAATGGCAGAGATATGATCGTATGAATTAGCAGACTGGACGCCATTTTTTAAATGAAACGTTTAAATCTATATAAATAATTTTATATTTGTTTTTTTAAACTTCACTACTATTAAATATCATTATATTTTATTAGTGACAATTTTCTGACTAAAATTTTAGTATGAAATCGATCTCAATTTTTATTTTAAGCTGCACTTTCAAATCAAGACTTTATAATGGCTCAGTGCTCTTTACTCTTAATCATACATCCCGCTGACTTGACTTTTTAATACATAAGACTTATTTAAGCAAGACTTTGGGTTTACTTACCGCGGTGAACTGTACCGGGGACTCCATGATGAAGTGGCGGTGCGCCTGTTGAGGAGCCGGCCTTGGAGGCGACTCCGGTCTCAGGCTCTTCGCCGACAGTGCTCGAGTAAGTCTTGCGGCCGGACTTGGCCGCTTTCGCATCAGCCCTTTCATCCTCTGCAACATTAATTATATTAATGGTAATAACAGTAATAATAATGGCTGAATTGAATGGTTCAAACAAGGCAGATATAAGAGGCGGCCGAAGGCCATACCTGTGCAGGATCAAATTATCGCAACCAGTGCATATAGAAGACATATACTAAAAGAAAACTTGAGCAGAGATAAACGATGCATGAATCGATCCAGCATGTAACCAATTGGTATGATACTTATGCTGGAACTTGATGAGGTATAATAATTTTGCAAAAACACACAAACAGAGTATAAGCAGAAAAATTAAGATTACTGGACAATGGTGAGATACTCCACTATCGCTATACTCCAGAAAAAACTTATATAAAATGACAATGTAAAAGTTTATTGAGATCAAAAAATAATAACGGAACAAAGGGTATTCTATAACCGCCCGGATATTTTGGTTATAACCAAAGCAAATAAAACTGCTAATCATAGGAATAGCTGTATCCAGTGATTCCGATTTAGTAACCACCACGACCGAAACATTATAAGATACAGGAAGGAGTTGGTTCGGGGTTGCGGTCAAAAATAGGCTAAATATTGGTTAAACTATTTTATTGAAACTATTTCATATTATATCCTTTTTCTTTTTCTTTCAATCTCTCCTGCAGATCTGTAGAAGTATATTCACATTTGCATTTATTATATATTACACTACAATAATTGTTAGCATCTATTTACTTCAGTTTAGGATCTTGTTACTTAGTTTACTTTGTTCATATTTTAATGAACTTACTGTTAATAATTTTAATAAGCTCATTGTTTATAACTTGTCCGTGCTAGCCCTGAAGAAGACCTGCAAAGTCGGGTCGAAACGTTGGCTTTCAATAAAATAGTTTTACCACTATTTAGCCTATTTATGACCGCAACCCCGGAACATCTCCTTCCTTTATAATGCAACGGTCAACTATCAAATACACAATATTCTAAGATACGTTTGCCTTGGAATTAAAAAGAAATTACCATTTAGAATAAGTAAGTGTAACTAGAACAATCATGTTTTCGGATGGTCTAATATTGAAGAGTACAATGGAGGATTCCCAAGATCTTGGACTTGATTCGGCATATTTAAAAACAGCACAAAAATAGTCCTGCCTGATACGCACAGGATTGTATGGAAAAAAATTAAATACGTAAAATCGTTCGTCTACAATATTTTGAATGTTTTTCTGTTTTGTTGATAATATTCCAGATATCTGAGAGAGCGAAGCGAAAATAATAATTATATATACAATATTATAAAGCCGATCCCTTACTTTTACTATAGTTTAAGAAAAAAAATATATTATTAGTAAATAGTTCATAAATATGACTTCAGCCAGTGACATCTTCAAACAATAATCAAACTCAAACAGAAATTATAGCTGGTAAAACTCCCATTTGTCCCATTAATTCACCGCCACCATTGGGAGAAGGTATTAGACTTTTTGCTCCCCTTTCATCAGATTATAAAGGGATACAGTAGCCGGATCAGGATCGAGACCCGGGAGCACAAAAGGAAGCTGCGACCTGGGGGAGGAGGAAAAAAATACCCATCGCTACCCCGCCTATTCAATGCTGTCTACGGGCGAGAGGATAAGCGATGCTTAATTGCTCGAAAATGGAGGCCGACCCTAACAAAAAATAAACCTCAACAAAAAACATTTATGAGTTTACTGAACATGATCCTCAACCTGTTCTCCAATATAAGGCTTAGCAAAACGGTGGTGTGAATTTCCAAATGATGAATGTACTTTCGCTTGCTGAATTTGTGAATCGATCAGAAGTTGGAATTTGTATGCCAAATGATGGAATAACTGCCTTAACTTTCTGATGAGAACTTACATATTGACTTCTGTTTCTCGACTGTTGCATAACTAAATATATAAGTTAAACAGTTAAATGTTTAACAATGAAGGCTGGAGAGGAGCTGAATAATAGATCTGTTGGACTAATAATATTTTTATGGGACGTTATGGACTCTCATTCACTAATTGCAGTTTTGTTTTCAGGGGTGAATTTATTTTTTACTTATTAATTATTGTTTGATTATTGATTATTTCGATGAACTGCTTTTCCCTCCATTTTGGAAGGATAAGCCTGGTTTGGAATTCTCTTGGCTGATTGTACGTATAGTACATAAATACACCACATATGACTGTGGTTTTAGAAGATTTATTTTATCTTTACTCTATTTTAAATTTATTATTTATAATTATCTTTTTATAGTTTCCTTACCATCACTCTTTTGTTTATTTCCCTTTTCAATGTGGTTATTGTATGAACGAATATTTATAGCACTGATACTTATTACCCATCAATGAGGCAGTTTGTAATTTTATTCAATAAACTTGTTCAAAATTAGAAAACCGTTTAAGTATTTCATTCAATGATGGGTAGAAATATGTAAACATGTAATGACAGAGAGAAAAAAAAGGATATTGCAAGATTTCAAGCAGTCTTTAGCCTCTCATAACTGTTCGGCCTTTCGCTGATTACTAACCATATTTCACAATCATCTCGAGGACTTTAAACCACTACTTTTTGTACAACAGTTGTAGTATACTATGGAAATGTTTACGAGAGGTAAACTACCCGAATTCGCTTAGTTTACATAAACATGATTTTATGTTTTTCAGTCTTAACGATGCATGGAATGATGAACATTGAACATTTAGTCATTAATAGCTATTTTAACGACTAATTGGAATCTTATACAATAATAAACTACGGAGGATAATGTTAATGGTTAAATGTTAGGATTTTTACATAATTACATACTTGGATTTACAACTTCGTGTATGACCTTTGTACAACTTTATTATCTATTGCCTTCGACCTAGTTATAAGAAAGCCGTTCAGTTCTCTACAATAACGAGAAATGGACTCCGATCGAATATTTTATCATATACTAGCTTTTTCACTACTTGAGCTACTTATGAATCTAGATCCGTCGGGATGAGGCGTAGAACGTAGAAGAAGATGGAAAGGAGGTGAAAAAAGAGTGGTCGCAACTGGTCTCCTTGGGCCCATGTAAGGACGGCAGGGGACGGTCACTCGGCCCGCATGTTGTTTACCTTCTGTAACCACCTGTCCCTCCGGAGAAGATCCAAACGTCTTCTCAACATCACGAAGACGTCGAGGGGTCACGGTCGCTGGTGAAAGTGTAAGCGTCATGGCGAACTCGAGGAGTTAAATGTAAAGATGTCATGAATACTTAGATACTAGAGAATGGTACGACTGAAAACCCGAGGCAATAAACAAACATGGATGGTATTAGAAAACGAAGAAACAAAAAGATAACTCAAACCACTCGATTTTAACACGGTCTGGGGTCGGTTAAAACTGGTGCTAATTTTGTAATTGTGTGGTTTTTATATTCTATTTACTACTTTTTCGTATATGGAAGGAAATGTAAGGATAAAATATGGAGGTAACACCGAAAAATATTGGATAAAAGGGAATAAAAATCTGTAATCCATAATTATGGAAAATCCGACGAAATTCTATGTGAATATTTTAATTCCTTATGAGTATAAGGTTGTCCCACAATAATTAAATAAAATAAAAACAATAAGCTCTTTAACATTAAAATCTGAACATTAAAGTGAAACCGAAGTTATTACGAATGATCTTTACGAGTAAAATATTATACAACATAACACATTCAGCATGTATCACAAGTACGAATATTTTAATCATCAATCAGCAGAATCTACCACGGAGAAAATTATTGTTAGAGACACACAGAATAAATATAAACATTTTAAATAAAAGAGCGATTCTTACCAGTCCACAAAGCATATTCCATGGTGCCGATAAATTCACAAAAACACAAAACAAACACTAAATTGCAACGTTTCAGTAATTTACTAAAATATTTTTGAATTAATGAATTTCTCAGCTTAAATTTCATCTTCAACATTTTCAGCCACATTAAAGAAATCGAATAAATTCAAGCAAATTTAATTAATACTGATAATAATTGAATTAATTAATTAGCAATAATCAATTATTATATTAGTCAGAACTTGAATGAAATGTTAAAATAATAAAATGAAAGCACACAATAACACTATTCAAACGCCCACACTATACACTGGACAATCGAACACTGAGTACTGAACCATTGTCCGGGATGCAAAGATGGACGAAGGAAACAGACTTGTTGCGACGTGCACAAGTTACTTTAGTCAGGTGGTCAGACCAGGATTGTAGGATAGGATTTTATGTTATAAAAAGAAATTAAATTGTAAAATGAGAAAATTGCAATATAAATATATTGCAAAATCTGTCGGCGCAAAAGGAAATCTATTTTTTTTTTTTAAATCAAATTTTTAGTTTGATAAAAGTTTAAAATATTCTCAAGTAAGAAAATATAATTTTAAATACCAAAATAAAAGTTATTTACTAAACAAACAGTTCATTAAAAGTACATTATTTTTAAAGAAGATAGCTATATTTTTAATAATTTATATTTATTTATGATACTATTATAATATCACTTACCATGGTTAGTACATCTTTTTCGTACAACTTGAGAGAATCATTCGGGAACAGATCTTGTATCCTCTCTAAATCACTTTCTTCCTTGGCACGTTTCACAGCCTGAAAAAATAAAAAAAAGTTAATACAATTCAAAATTGATTCTAAATGTATAAAGTTTTCTAACGAAAAAAAGAGTTCGGTACTTTGAAAAAGAAATAACACTTCAAAGTTGTATATGGAGGTAATTGGGCAGAGATCAACTGTCAGGTTTTCCTACTTAATTAATTGTTTAATTAGGAGCACCCATTTGAAAGAGGCTGAGTGTGTCTCAGGAGGGTCTCCCGACACCAGGGTCGATCCATGGCTGATGTTACAGAATAGATAATTACCTACCATTAGCCGGATTCGAACCCAGGATCTTGAACAGAGGAATCAATGACTCACTGAGCTACCATACTGAAAAGAAGTATGAGAATGTCTTTAGCACTGCGTTCGGTTGTAACTTAAATATAACCGTGTGTCGAGTGCCGTAAATTCAGAAATTTTTTTAAAAATTAAATTATTTATATATTTAATTATATTATATATTTTAATTATATATTTATTTTATAATGTAGGCCTTCGTTATTTTTCTAGTACAGATATAAATATTTATTTTAATTTTTAATTTTCATTTTTTTGTATGTATTTTTTATTTTTTGCACTACTTTAAACATAAATAAATATATAAAATAGAGTCTGTTTATACCTAAATATTTCACGTTGAATTAGATATTGTCGTAGGTCGTAAGAGAAACGCCAAGACATGATTTAAGTAAATAAATATATTAAATAGTTATCATTTTTTAAAATAATATATCTTGAATTAATGAATTTTATTAACTTTAGGTAAGAATGGGGAGAAAATAAGTTTTCTTTAAACTATTGAATTGTTTTTTTATATCTTTCAAACACTTTTAAAATGTTGTCGAATATACACCGCAATGTACAATTTCTTTTACCGAAGATTCTCAAGGATATGTTTTTTTTTTTTAAATAGCTTGGCCATTTACGGATCAAAAAACTCACTATCGTAAAAAAAAATAAAGAAAACAATTCTTTTGATCCGATAAGAAGTTTGACAGTCAAGGATATATTTTTTTTTTGGTTTATCAAACGTACGTCACATCTCCATAGTAACGTGAAACATGAGTGGGTTTAAATCCATCAGATAGTTATTGCCTTAAATGAGATAGTGAATTTTGGAACGCAACCCAAAACAATAAAAACGTGTTAATCAAAGCAGACTCCTCCTCGAGACCATTTCCAAAGCCTCACAACATAATGTTTCAGTTTCGCAAAAGTAATCAGGTGAATTACACAGCCAAGAAACGTATGAGTTCATCAACCTCTTCTGGTTGGAAGATGGGTTTTAGGTAATGGCTAAACCAAATCATGTAGCATAATTGGGAACGTAACCGCCGAGGGTCTTAGGTAACTCCGGAAATTAAAATGGTGCAACTAAGCAGTTACAAAAAATAATAATGTTATTAATCAAATATAAGCTTTAAAAATCTAGTGCTATGCATCACACAACACTTAAAAAATTAATAAACATTTAGAATATTGCTTTAATTTTAAATACAAACATAAAACGATTAATATAATTTTATAAATTTTCGCTCCATGTATTTATGGGTATCAAGTTAAAAAAAAAAAGTTTTTTTCTACGAAGATAATTAATAAATAATCAACAATTAGAACCTTTTATTGCATTCCAAAAACGATACAAAAAAATAAAATTCTTTACTTACAATAAAAAGCTGTGTTTAGATTAGCGCACTTTTTATATAGGAAAATTAAACGAAATGGGAATATCAGCAAATATATCAAAAACTTCAGGAAACGAAGAAACATCTTGAAGTCATTTCTCTATTCTCCAAAGAATTTTTTAAAAATATATGATAACTTATCTGACTCTTATTTTTTTAATTTATTTATTATAATTTTATATAAAAACCTAAATAACGGTGTTGATAACAAACAGGTTTTACTCCTTCATAATAACCAAATAACCAGTACTTAGTTATATTACATATTTATTTGTAACGTTTCGACCTTTTTAGGCATTTTCAAACATAATAAATTTTTTAAATCGTTTACCGGATCGAGCTTTGGAGCTCTACTAAACCATCAAATTCCTCTCGTATCCAATCCCTACAATCCAAAATCCTTCGTAAAATCCTTAATGCTCCCTACTTTGTCACAAATAAAATCATCCATAATGACCTTAATGTACCATATGTTTCCGATTTAGCTCAATCCAGATACCGATACCCGTCCTTTCATAATAAACTTCTGAACCATCCGAACCCTCTCGTTTCCAACCTTGCTTCCTCTTCTATTCCTGACAACCCTCCGAGGCGTCTAAAAAGAAGATGGCCTCGGGTCCTTCTAATATAGAAATATAATTGGAGTGCTACCAATGGGTAGTTTCTCCTCATGTTGTACATGTCATATTACTTGTTCATATTTACTTGTTGTATTTACTATTAATTACAGTGGTAAATTTCGTGAATAAAAAAAAAAAATCGTTTACCACCATAATATTAATTATATTCTAATTTTAACAGTACACATTCCGTTTTGACTTGTTTCTTTCTTTTTTTTTTAGAAAAAAAAAATGCATTTATTTTCTATGGAACTTCTATTACTATATATGTAAATGTTTGTTTCCCATTCAATAATATTAACTAATGCAATTAAAATTCATTAGCTTTTCTTCATTCCCCATTTCCTTCTACAACCTTACATGTAAGACAGTCATATTTTAAAAATTTGTTTTCAATTTGTAAAAATATTTTAGTCATTTTTCCCCTTTTGGTAAATATTAAATTCTTTCATAGTTCGCATTTATTCAGTTTGTAACCCTATTAATAGTGAGAAACATTGAATTATTTCTAAATAATGAAATAATAATTTTATCGGAGTAAATTAAATAGAAAACCTAGCCAAATTGTATTGAAGTATTGAAGTATTGTACATAAATAATATTGAAGAAAATTTAATTTTACATCTACATGACGAATTAAATCAAAATCGTAAGAGTTTTTTTTTCAAGAAAATTGTAAAGATTTGTAAAATCTTCGCTATAAAGTACTAATTCCAGTTAATGGACTTGGACAATAAAGTAGATAGATGTAACATCCCATGCCTAGACATACTTGTTTACGGTTAAGTGAAAGTTAAAAAAAAAAAAAAGAGAATACTACTTCGTTAAAAGAACTTTAAAATAAAATAAAAAGAAATAGGAACTAACGTGTATCGATAAAACGTAACGTAAAAATAACTCAAGAGGAAGTTAAACACTCTCCTTTGAAAATATATCTTTGTTTACAAATATCACAACTATATATGATAAGATAAGATCATGTCAGAGCGTACTTCTCTCCATAATATTATTTCATAATGCTTATAATCCTTTAATACTTAAAAAAACATATTAAACGTAATCTCTTGACTTTGTATAGGCTCTGTGATAGCTTGATAAATGTCAATATTTAGAGCGGCAGAAAAAAAACCAAAACAAGACCAATAGATTAGTATTGTATCTATAAATATGCATGGATTTGATGAAACGGACAGTTCATTCAAGTTTTTATTATCCAGACACTTGGTCCAAGCCACAAAACAATTTTAAAAACGTTTTAAAAACCAATTTTTTTATTTGAGAAAATTCTGATGAGTTTTCTCATTAAATTTATTAATTATGCGAGGTGCTAAAAATTCATGAATATTCATTTGCTTCCATTTGAACCGTGAGATAATTTGGTCATAAAATCGATAAAAAAAGATGGCCCACAAAATTATTGGCCCGTTTAGCAAATATAACCTCGTTATTTTTATATTTTGAAGGAGGAGGTCACGACAAACGGTCCAATATTTTTGTAGGCCACATTTCGTTTCGATTTGGTGATGAAATTGTCTTACGATTCAAATGGAAAGAAAATGTGTGTTCGTGAATTTTTAGTGCCTTATTAAATAGACAAAGTTTACCGATCTTCAGATTGAAAAAAATGATTAGTTCGCACAACACTTAGTGAAAATGTCAGAACGAAAACATTTGGCAACAATGTTATGGCTAATATGAAGTTAGCACAATGTAAACTCATATTTTCACCGACGTGTAGCCTAGACATTAATTAACCATGTCATTAACGGTCGTACTCCAAATGACAGAGCCCGGAGTAGCACAGGAGAAGACAATGGTTCCATTGTGGGGGGTTCGCTGCCATGACTATAGCCGCTAATTACTGTCAAGTACCATTTGTCAGGTGACAGCGGGTCCAAATCAATCACGTCCTAGTTGGGGTGACCATTTGGGAACTGGGGATCTGTGTCGGCGTCTTATTGGTACCCATTGTTCCATTGACCATCCCCACATCCAGGTCATCCTCCAAGTTATGGCCCACATATCTTCACTTAAGATGATTTGATTAGGATGGCTCTGTATCAATTGGCAGGCTGATTGAGAGAAACCATTGTTTACTTCGTGCGCGTTGATAATCGGATTCAATTCCTGTGCAAGCTCAAAACGAATACTGGTGTTGGAGGATGGCCAGAAAGTGGACAGCATCAGAGATGAGCGTTTTTATATGGCTTAATGTCCAAGGCTCATTGACTATGCAACGGTTGATGCCTCTGTTGCATTACTTCCTAGCTTGTGAAATAGCATCAATGTAACCATTACGCAACCTAATTCGAAGATTCGAACAGCTGCATTACTGGGATCTTCATACTCACCTGGAATACTGAGGTAATTGAATAAGAATACTACAATCAGGCTTTCAGGCTGATGGAATTTATAATTGGCAACACAATAAATCATCTGCATTACTTTTTTCATATCTTTTTTAGTTTCTCTAGAAGTTATAGCTTTAGCAATGTAATTAGAAAGGGTCAGACATGTTCTTTTCCGACTTCCCATAACAACGCAATAGATGACAAAGCGCATATATCCGCTGAATAACCTTCAATATCAACTATTAAATATTATGCAGTCATGCAAAAAAATAATCGAGAGTTTTCTATCTTACATCACACTAACCTCAATCGTTTAATTAACATTTCTATATCCACCA